TGGGAAATTAATGTGTATTTGCAGGAGAGGGGGGGAAGAAAGAAAGATCAAAAGACAAAAAAACAACAGAGGCAAAAAATAAAATAAATTAATAACAACCTACCAATGGTACCCTCTAACCACCCACAACTGTATGGGAAAAGAGGCACCCTCCAGCCACCCACTACTGCATGCCGTACACACCCTTCCTGAACGTATCACATTTCAAAGTATTATTTTTCTTTTTCAGTCATCTAAATCAGATAATAAATGGAAACAGAAAGACCGACAAACATGATACAGAACAGAGGAAAAGCAAAGAGGTCGAACCTAAAAGTAAAATTGGCATCACCCGCCGCCGCCGCCGCCACCCGCAAACACAAAGTGAGACAATCAGGTCAGCCTACCTGGCACCACTACTTAGTTTTAGTAGTTAGAGTACCTGACTTCGAGTTGGGGAAGTAAAAAAGGCATGGAAAGGAACTGGCCCCCCCAACCACAATATGCTGAAGGCCCAGGAAGTTGTCTCACTAACAAGTCAATTCATAATGTCCGGATCAGATGCAGGAACAACTTTATTTTTTCGTTACAGCTTTACACAATAAGGTCATATAAGTGCTGAAGATAAGAGGTGTTACAAGCGAGTAACAAACACAACAAAAAAAATAATAAAAAGAAGGGGAGATAAGACGATGGATAGATATTCAGAACGATGAAACAAACCACACCAGACCACCCTCTAACCACCCTCCAACCACCTACCTGGCACCGGTATGGTTGCGTTGGACAGTTTGCGGAACTGCAGCACGCGTCGTTTGGCCTCTTCCCGAGACTGCAGGACCACTTCCTCCTCGTCCATTGTGCTGAGTGGGCCCCCATGGTCTTTGGACATGTCTTTTACTGGGAACAGACACACCACACCATGATTATATGACAACACGGACCAATAGAAAGTTTTTTTGGACATGTGTTTTACTGGGAACAGACACACCACACCATGATTATATGACAACATGGACCAATAGAAAGTTTTTTTGGACATGTGTTTTACTGGGAACAGACCCACCACACCATGATTATACGAGAAAACTGCCCAGTACAAATAGTTTCTTTTAGTTTAGTTTTGGTAAGAGTTTTATGGCACTTGCAACACAATAAGGTCATTTAAGTGCCGAAGATTAGAGGTGTTGCAAGAGAGTACCAATTACAAAAAAAGAAGGAGGGGAGATAAGGATGATAGATGTTTGGTAGGAAAGAAGGAGCAAACCACACCAGAGCACCCGCCAACCACCTACAGTTTCTTTGGACATGTCTTTTACTGTGAACAGACACACCACACCATGATTATATGACAACGATGAAGATTATTGCGCCAAGTGACCGCAAAGTGTTAAGGTATCACTTCCAGCAGAAAGGCTAGAATATAATTCAGAGTATGCAGACTGATTTTAACCATACCATTGTACTACATGGGATTGAAAATTGAGGAACACAGAAAATTTCTAACGGCATTTACAAAAGTGTGAATTTCTCCACCACTGGACGCAAGCTATAACAGACAATGTTCTCCCACTTACTTGTTTCTAAAATCTCTAACGGTAGTTCACTTGAAGTCTCGAAATCCATGGCCTGCATCTGAGACTGCTGCTGCTGCTGTTGCTGCTGCTGCTGCTTCTCAGAGCGGGCGCTGCAGATGTTGCGCAGCTCCTGTTTCACGTACTGCGACTTGGACGAACCAGCACCCATGGCGTCTCCCGACACGTTTTTGCTGAAACATTTCAAGAAAGAGCTGTGATGTCATTTCCTCTCGACCCTTTCATCTCGTGTTCTCAAATACGTTTTTGCTGAAAAATAGCCATGAAGTCATTTCATTTCAAAATTTAAGTCTGTTTACTATTTCACAAAGAGTTTTGCTGAAACATTTCGACAAAGAGGTATGATGTCATTTCATCCTAAAACTTGAGTCTTATTATTTCATGTATGTTTTTGTCGAAACGACATTTAGACAAACAGGTATAATATCGTTTCCTCTCAAAACTTTAGTCTTTTTATTTCACAAATGTTTTTGCTGAATCATTTCAACAAAAAGCTATTACAAAGTCACTTCCTTTCAACACATTATTCTCATTGCTACCATTATTTCAGCTCAGTTTTAGTGAGAGTTTAACTGCACTTGCAACATAATTAGGGCATATAAGTGCCGAATATTATAATTTTACAAGATAGAATCACTTGCACACACAGTTTCATTCACAGTCCTCTACTCTCAACATCTCGCGACCTCAGTGCTTTCTTGTTGTTGTATCTTCATTTTTAATAACAGTGAAAATAGTTCATAACAAAGAGTGAGCTTATGAAGAAGTCACATTTTCACTGTTTAAAAAAAAAAATAGGAGTTACGACAAGAAAGCATCTGAGGTCGCAGTCTCTAGTAGAGGTGGGCAACCCTGGATAAATACCTGTATAATCCTCAATAAGACATTATCCGAATTCAGACTCTTTCTCCTGATCTGTTTGCCGAGTGGGTGCACCCATTTGTTGAAGTGATGCTAACCCATTTGCCGAAGCGGCTCGTAACATACTATTTACTGAAGTGGTGCACTAACATATTATCCGGGTTTTGCAAACGCGACTCATTGCCCAGCCCTAGAACGTTCGTCCTACTCCTACCTTTCCATGGAGTTGAGTGAGGTGTCCAGGTACTGCATGTCAAACTCCTGCAGGGCGCTGGCCGTCGACTGGGTCATGCTCCCCGCGCTGAATGACGGGGCCCCGCTGGCGATGGCCGGGCCTCCTGGGAAGGACCCGGGGCCGCCGGACATATTGGGCGACTGGCCCGAGAACCCGGAGGACATCGGGACCTGGTTGAACTGAGGGCTCACCTGGGAGGAGAGGGGGAGAGAAATGGTGACGGAAAGGCCAATACAACGTGAATCAATGTGGTGAAATCAGGCGCTCGTCGATATAATAATGAAATCGAAGAAAACAGCATTTTTCTTCCTGTTTGGTAATTTTTATTGATTTTTAATTTTTTGGCTCAACACCTGTTATGTCCATTTTAAAAGACGTTGCACTGTGGATTTTACTGGAAAATCGAAGATTAAAGGCACTCAAAATGTAAATTTTCAGTTACCAAGGACTCACAAGCTTTGGAAGTCACCAAACTTTGGCAGCCATTTTTAAAAAAACTAATTTTACCTCTGAAACCAGGTGACCCCCATCTCCTTCAATCCCATATATATCTCACTCTTATTAAAGAGAAATGTGTATTTCTTTTATAGAAAAAAGACAAATGAGCAGACTGTAGATGATACCAAAAACTTCATATGACCAAAAATTGATGAGAGCCTGATTCCACTGCGTCATGAATCAATTGGCTTTGAAAAGTGTGGTGAATTAAACAATGCTGAGTAACTTTGAGCAGAGGAAAGAAATAGTGATGTCAAGCAAAATAAAACACCACTTTAATTGACTTTTAAAATTGTGGTGAATTTTACAATACTGCGTTCCTTTGAGTGAAGGAAAGAAATGGCAACATAGAGAGGCAAATAAAACAAGGATTAATTGACTTTGTTGAAAAGTGTGGTCAGCTTTACAATAACTTATTTGCGCCGATGAGAGAAATGGTGACATAACAGGTAAATTCAATATGTATTATGAATCATCTTTAAAAAGTGTGAAGAACTTTACAAGTTTGAGAAGTGGTGTAGTAATAGTGATGTAAAGGTGGAAGTCAACATTCATTAATCAATTTTGAGAAAAGCTGATAGGTACAGTGGTGCCAGAGAACACCCCTTCCCCCCCCCCCCCCCCCCCCCCCCCCCCAAAAAAAAAGGGGGGGGGGAGGAAAGATAAAAAAAATTAATCTAAAAACTTTTTTAAAAAGAATAACCAACCAACCCATGACTGACTGCCCTTTTTTTGGTTGGTTTTAATAAGTGTTTTACGCCACTTGCAACACAATAAGGTAATAAAAGTGCCGAAGATTAGGGGTGTTACAAGAGAGTAAGAAACAAACACACACAAAAAAGAAAGGGAGGCGTGATAAAGATGATAGAAGACGCTTGATAGGAAAAAAGAAGGAGCACAGACCACATGAGAGCACCCGCCAACAACGCACACTGACTGACTGACTGACTGACTGACTGACTGACTGACCTGTACACCTGGTTGTTGCGGCTGTCTCATGGCCGAGTTGGGCGACATGACGGCCTGCGGGGAGATGAGCAGCGGGTCCGGGGGGCTCGTGCCAAAGGGGCTCTGGGGGGCTCGCGGGGAGCCTCGACCTGCCGGGACAACAATAAATACGTGTTTACATTTTTTAATTTTTTTTTTGTAAAGAGTTTTACGGCACTTGCAACACAATAAATAAGGTCATAGAAGTGCCGAACATTAAAGGTGTTACGAGAGAGAAACAATCACAAAATAGAAGGTGGGGAGATAAAGACGATAGATGTTTGATAGGAAAGAAAGAAGAAGCAAACCACACCAGAGCACCCGCCAACCACCCACTTTAAGAGTTTTACAGCACTTGCAACACAATAAGGTCATATAAGTGCCGAAGATTAGAGGTTTTATGAACAAGGGAGTATAATACATAAAAAAAGGGTGGGGAGATAAAGGCGATAGATCTTTGATAGGAAAGAGGGAGCAAACCATACCAGAGCACCCACCAGCCACCCACGTAAAGAGTTTTACGGCACTTGCAACACAATAAGGTCATATAAGTGTTGAAAATTAGAGGTGTTACAGGGGAGTAACAAACTCAAAAAAGAGGGTGGGGAGAAGAGAAAAAGGCGATAGATGTTTGTATCAATAAAGACGATAGATCTTTGATATGAAAGAGGGAGCAACCCACCACATCAGAGCACCCCCCCCCCCCCCCCCCCCGTTAACATTTTACACCCTCATCGATACCATGTAGGCAATGGAAGAGGTGGGCTGTTTTTGACCTAGCCTGCTTGAGCCAAGGAAAATTATACATGTATTACAAATGAAGAAGACAATTCTAGATAGAATGAACACAAGAGGCTGGGCATGTGTACCAACAAAGAAACATACACACAATTCATTGTTTCAGGAAGCAACATCCTTTTATCGGTAAGCGTTTTACGGCACTTGCAACACAATAAGGGCATACGAGCGCCAGAAGATTAGAGGTGTTACAAAAGAGTAACAAACATAAAAAAGAAGGAGGGAGGATAAGGACGATAGATGTTTGACAGGAAAGAAGGAGCAAACCACACCAGAGCATCCGCCAACCACCCACGAGAGCAAACCAAACCAGATCACCCGCCAACCACCCACTAAGCAAACATCCTTGCATTCCGGTCACGTCCACTGATGCTCCGTTGATCTCTCCAAAATGCCGCTGAGGGTCTTTCTATTGATTGTGCCAGTGCATACATGGACATACACACATACAAACATAAACACACTGACGTTTCAGTAAATCTCAGTGGGGAGTCTTTAACTTTGATAAATTTTGGTATCTCTTGGTATGGTATAATTTGGGAAGGCAGCACATCATAAAAATTAACAACTTGATCAGAAAGGCATCAAGAACAATTGGTAGATACTTAAGTAGCTTTGAATATCTGCACAAAACACACGTTCTAAAAAAAAGGCAGAAATAATGTTAAGAGACCATAGCCACCCACTGACATTGGAATTTCAATGATCGATCCGTAGTAAACGATACATTTCCAAAAAAAATCAAACAGACAGATATAGAAATTCATCGTACCAACTGCAGTGAGGTCACTGAACACACAATGTTACAAATGAAACAGAGAGAGAGAGGGGTTGTTCCAACACATGAGGCATGTATTTACTAATGTCCTGTCTTGTTGTGCGTATGTGTGAGTGCACCTAACCTTTGTAACATCTACTGTCATTGTTAACGACTAAGACAAATTTCTCCCTGCGAGATGAATAAAGATTGTCACTGTCATTGTCATTGTTTACAGAGCAAGACAAGATATCCCTTGTTCTAACCCGCCTACAAACCACACGCACAGAGAGAGAGAGAGAGGGAGAGAGAGAGAGAGAGAGAGAGAGAGAGAGAGAGAGAGAGAGAGAGAGAGAACAAGACCAAATTCATGAATGAGCCGAGCTGACAAAATCTCACCGAGGTAATAGAATCCCGCCGGGTGATAATACACGTAATAAAAGCCCGGGCTGTGAGAGGCCACGTCGTAGGCATAATCCCCGGTGAGGTACATGATGATGATGCTGGCAGTGCTGACTGGCACTTCCCACTATACTGCGAAATGCGCACTCGAGACACTTGTTCACGGTACTGCCAAATGCAAACTTAACAATATCCTTCACCGTTTACAGCGAAATACTCACGAGTCACTTTGGACAAACGTCACTATATTTATAATATTATTGTTATTGCTATTATTATTGTGAAATGCTCACTTGGGATACTCCTCACTGTAGTGAAAAATGCGCATTCGGAAACACGCCTCACTATTATTATTATTGCAAAATGGTAATTCACTGTACTGAAAAATGTTCACAAGACAATCCTTGTAGCACACTGCAAAATGCTGACTTACGACAATCCTCACGCGTTGACTACACAGAAATAAAAACTATTATAAATACACTATTTAAAGCACCTCAGACACCAGATAACTACCATGAGCTGTCCTGCCAAGAACAAGTGATTATATTCAGACTAAGGACACAAGACTGAGACAACATATGTACAAATGTTTTAAACTAGTACAATCACCAAAATGCCAGTGTGGAGAGGCGGACCAAACTGTTGAACACATCCTTCAGCACTGCAAGACACACAGGGCCCTGAGACAGGAAACGTGGCCAACCCCACTGACGCTACAAGAGAAGTTGGCCAACCCCACTGACGCTACAAGAGAAGCTATACGGGCCGCCAGATGAACTGAGCAGGACGGCCCAATTAATGACAGATACCGGACTTCAAGTGTGATGCGATCAAGAAGAAGAAGAAGAAGAAGACAACCCTCACTGTACTGCAAAATCAGGACAACCCTCACATAGGGCACTCCTCACTGTACTGCAAATTGCGCACTTAAGACAACTGCAAAATCCCAACAACGTTGACGTAGACTGCTTAGTTTTAAAAAACTGGAATTAATTTTAATTAATAATGATGATAAAAAGAATTTGTTTTACGGTACCGGGTTACCTCGGAGACATCGGTGAGTCAATGACCAAACCACGGTGTTTTCAGTATTGACTCTACCCCCCCC